ATAATCAGTAGAATATGATTAGTAGAATATGATTAGTAGAATATGATCAGTAGAATATGATCAGTAGAATATGATCAGTAGAATATGATGAGTAGAATATAATCAGTAGAATATGATTAGTAGAATATGATCAGTAGAATATGATTAGTAGAATATGATCAGTAGAATATGATTAGTAGAATATGATCAGTAGAATATGATTAGTAGAATATAATCAGTAGAATATGATTAGTAGAATATGATCAGTAGAATATGATTAGTAGAATATGATTAGTAGAATATGATCAGTAGAATATGATCAGTAGAATATGATTTAGTACAAACAAAAGCTTTCTCTTCGGTATAAATACTCATGTGTACTTGTAAGGTTCCACGATGTTTGAATAATTTACTACAGTATGGGATTTCATGTGCTTGTGTAGGGCTTCATGCTGTGTGAATGATTTACTACAAACATCATATTGATACCGTTTTTCTCCAGAATGAATTATCATGTGGTTTTGTAGGTTTCCAACTTGTATAAATGATTTACAACAAACATCACATTTATAAGGCTTCTCGCCAGTATGAATTCTCATGTGTTTCTGTAAAACATAGCAACGACTAAATAACTTATCACAAACATCACATTTATATGGCTTCTCTCCCATATGAATTCTCATGTGTTTATTTAAGGTTCCAGAGAGAGAGAGAGAGAGAGAGAGAAATGGGGTTTAACGTCCACTCGACACAAACTAGGTCATTTCGGGACTAACATATGGTTTAATTTTATTTCCATAATTCGCTTGCGCGTAGGGGTCTTTAGCAGTGGGAGGAAACCGGAGGACCCGGAGAAAACCCACGAGGTTGGACAGGCGACCCAACTCCTTGCCACGTACAACCGGGGATTCGAAACCACGCCAGTCGACTCAATGACAGACTTTGTGATACAGCGCGCGCACGCTAACCATTCAGCCATCCAACCCCCTTAAGGTTCCAGACTGTGAATGATTTACTACAAACATCACATTCATGAGATTTTGCTCTAGCATGATTTCGAATATATCTCTGTCGAATACTATTCTGGATGAAATATTTACTATAACTATCACACTGTAGGCCTACATGACAGTGACAGTCAGCTAACTGTTGGTTCACATCACCACATGCTTTCAACTCACTACCATTACAAGATTCAAACTCTAATTTATGATGTACTTCGCAATGTTTCTGTAAATCAGTGTCAGATTTAAATTTCTCATCACATAAATTACTCATGAACTGTTTTAATATCACCAGTTTTCTCTTCTTTAACATGACAATATTCATCTACATCATCAGTTTTCTCTTCTTTAACATGTATTTTATTGTGTTTTTCTAAATCATCATGTTGTTGAAAAATATCATCACAAACAACACACTGGTGAAATGTTTTAACATTAGTTTCCTGTAAAATATAAAAGTCATTAGTTCCCTGTAATATATAAAAGTTATAACATCATTAATTTCCTGTTAAAAACAAGGCCCAACACTATACCCTTTATAGAAAAAGATACTATACTATACCCTGTGTATAACATACCCTCTATAGAACAAGGTCTTATACTATACCCTTTATAGAACATGGTCCTATACTATACACTCTATAGAACAATGCCCTTTACTATACCCTTTGGTTCGTGAGTAAAGGGGTAGTGATAAATAGATACAAATTTAACGTCCAATACATCAAAATATTATGGACAGGATCATGGACATTCTTCAAGCGCCAGTTTTCCGCCAAATCTATTTCACTTGTGCACGAAGTGTTCCTCATTATGTCACCTGAAGTGAGGCAGATGTTCTCTTCTGTCGAAGCTCTTCTCATCTCACACTGCTGAACCCTGCTAGTTCCTGCTCAGCCGAGCGCTCCTTCAGCGGCGCCATATCAAACCTTGGCTGCGTAACTCCATGACGCATGATTTAATCATGAATGAAAATTGAGCAGCAAATCGGATCCTAATCCAGTAATATCGCAGGCTAGCGATGACATTGAGAGTTGATTATGCCAATTATGGTCTGGATAAGTTAATTAATGTCTAATTTATAATTTAGATAACATTTCAGGCCTAAAGAAAGACCTGCAATAGACAGATTTAGCTCTTGCATAATGCATGTTTGAAGGCGTGTGATGGTCATTTAATATATTCTGGTGAAGTCAAAGTTACTTGCTAATCACCACTAATCCTATGTAGCCATCTTCAAAGAGATTATCCTTAGAGCATTTTAATTGGACAGGTTAATTATTTGAAACCATGCTCAGATGATTACCTGTAGATTATGTGTGAACTGTTATTTTTGTCAAATGATTAATAGTCAGTTGTTAAAAATATCTAGTTTTTCTTTAAATTAATATTCTTTGGCCATTCTAATCAAACCGTTATGACCACATTCCCCATGATTTCTATTTAGAATTTCGGACAAATCAATCATTTCAGAAAGTAAGAGCACACGTCACATTGGCTCAGCAATTTCTGATTAAATGGTATCAAATTATATCTTATTGTTTGTTTGTTTTATCCCAACCCTGTCGACCTATCAATTCCAAGTCTCTATGACAACAGGAACTGGTAGAGGTGCGAAAGTGCAATAGCGCCACCGAAATGTCATGATACCACCCTATCAAGAAACATTATTTGAACCAAACCAAAAGATGCCGCTCCTAACGGTATAGTTAATGATAATGTAAATTTTATAATTAAAACGAGTTTAATTTTCTCAAGCTGCTGTAAAAACCAAAAAGCTAAATATTACTGTTATTCAGAATCATTAACAATAAAATTTTTACGGCTTTAATAGTTGATAGACATGTAGAAGAATTCTCATTGACTGTACTGCTGAGTATTCTCGCAGTGCGTGCCAAGCCAGAAAGCGGTTCAGGACTAGTCACTGAAGCGTGCACATTCGCTATGGTGAATTCAAGTTTTAATAAAGCAAATTTTGGCTGCTTAGGGCACCCTAACAATACAATAAATATATATCTATACATATTTTCCCATTACTAAATTTAAAATCGTACTGACGTTTTTTTGCTGTTTAGTATATCTATATATATTTTCCCACTACTAAATGCAGATATCATGAAGAACTACAGATCTTGTAAGTAACCTCAGTTAGGTGTCGAAACTGATAGAAAACAAGCAGCTTGTACAATATATGGTGCATGGTGAACAATAAGATGGCGAGAGAGAGAGAAATGGGGTTTAACATCCACTCGACATAAACTAGGTCATTTCGGGACTAACACATGGTTAAATTTTATTTCAATAATTCGCAGTGGCAGGAAACTGGAGGCCCCGGAGAAAACCCATGAGGTTGGACAGGCGACCCTACTCCTTGTCACGTACAACTGGAAAATTGAAACCCCGCCAGTAGACTCAATGACAGACAGTATGATACAGCGCGCGCGTGCTAACCATTCGGCCACCCCCCCCCCCAATAAGATGGCCATACACCACGCCATGTACTATAAGATGGAAATTTTTACCAGGAATTGCAACTGTACACACCAATGATACACAGTGCATGTAGTTTTTCGTGCCATGGGTACGACCACTCTGATTAAAACACAGATCCTATTTCGTTTCGTTTTTTATAGTTCAAAATTTCATTTCATTTGTCTTTACTACACTAGGATCTGGAAGAGTTGTTATATAACCGGCATTTGGTTGAAATGAGGGATTAGCCAATGAAAGAGTCTATTACCGCGACTTCTTGGCATGCCATGCACGGAATTGTGGGTAAACCACTAGAAACGTCAACGCTGATTGATTAATCAATGTCGGACGTCATAAGCTCAAAAGCTGCTCGTATGACCTCTTACACGACCTATCACTACAACAAGTCAGATCTTCATGTAGTGTAGGCCATCGAAAGTATAAAAAAACGAAACGAAATATAGATCTGTAGTCTAATCAGATTGTATTTGACAAGACACTGTTTCTTGCCAGACCCTCCATCCTTGATCATTGACAAGGGCAAATGGATTCCACGACTAGACACTGTTTCTTGCCAGACCCTCCATCCTTGATCATTGACAAGGGCAAGTGGATTCCACGACTAGACACTGTTCCTTGCTAGTCTCTTGTATCACATTTATACTATTAATCTAAAATCACAACCAGTGTAGAAAACTAATGATGTCAAAACTTTTATACGTCACAGAGAGAGAGAGAGAGAGAAATGGGGTTTAACATCCACTCGACACAGACTAGGTCATTTCAGGACTAACATATGGTTTTTAATTTTATTTCCATAATTCGCTTGCGCGTAGGGGTCTTTAGCAGTGGGAGGAAACCGGAGGACCTGGAGAAAACCCACAAGGTTGGACAGGCAACCCTACTCCTTGTCACGTACAACTGGGGATTCAAAACCACGCCAGTTGACTCAATGACAGACTTCATGATACAGCGCGCACGTGCTAACCACTAAGCCATCCACACCCCCCCCCCCCCACATAAAATAAATATATGTACCTAATCACATGAAATAAAGGTATATATGAACTTGTAATCACATGAAATGAAATGTGGTTTATGGTCCTACTGTTCTGCTCCGAACTGGGCTAATGAAGACGGGCATACGCCATACAGTGTGCTATGAGGGAAATTTTGCCCGGACAGCGGCACTAAGGCCTACTCTTATATCGAATTCCAACTGTCAAGGGATCATTTACGTGCACGCCAATGTGTACACAGGACCTTGGTGTACGAGTTGTACGTCTAACTCTTCAAAAAGTTTATCAACTTGTACATCAAGCGCTCAATGTTCGTGTGTGACCTTTGACATCACGCGTGCAGAAATTCCTAATCGTTGGGCTGTTGATTAGGGGAACCCTTACATTTTTGTCCTGTATACGCTCCATGAGTGTTTTTCGGGGAATCCAGTAATTTTCTAGTAAGATTGAATACCTCTACTTTCCATATATACCAAAATTACCATACTTTTATTGGAAATAACCACCCGATAAATACTTTTCTGGGAACCCATCTTTAATCTTAAATTACATATTAAACTGAATATTAATTACATGAATAAGACTTTATTAATAAACTTTCTTTCAGGTATGAGTTTTCATGTGTTTCTGTAGGCCTCCACCCTGTGAGAATGATTTACTACAAACATCTCATTTATATAATTTTTCCTCCAGAATGAGTTCTGATATGTGTCTGTAGACTACTTTTCTGATTAAATGATTTACTACAAACATCACATTTATAAGGTTTTGCCCCAGTATGAATTCTCATGTGTTTCTGTAGGTTTCCGCCTTCTGTAAATGATTTACTACAAACATCACATTTATAAGGTTTCTCACTTGTATGAATTCTCATGTGCCTATGTAGGTCTCCACCCTGTACGAATGATTTATTACAAATATCACATCTATAAGGTTTTTCGCCAGTATGAATTCTCCTGTGTTTTAGTAGATTACTACTCTGACTAAATGATTGACTACAAACATCACATTTATAAGGTTTTGCACCTGTATGAATTCTCATGTGTTTCTGTAGATGACTACTCCGAGCAAATGATTTATTACAAACATCACATTCATATGGTTTTTCACCAGTATGAATTCTCACATGTGCCTTTAAATTTCCAAGATGTGTGAATGATTTGCTACAAACATCACATTTATAAGGATTTATTCCATTATGAATTCTCATGTGTCTCTGTAGATGACTACTATTGGTAAATGATTTACTACAAACATCACATTTATAAGGTCTTTCTACAGTATCATTTGGCATGTGTCCATTAGCGTTTCGAATAAATGTATTACTACAAACATCAGATTGTGGGCCTACATCACAGTGACAGTCCGTTAACTGTAGGCCTACATCACTACATGTTTTCAACTCACTACCATTACAAGATTCAAACTCTAATTTATGATGTACTTTACAATGTTTTTCTAAATCAATGTCAGATTTAAATTTCTCATCACATAAATTACACTGATGAACTGATTCAATATGTTTAGTTTTCTCTTCTTTAACATGACAATATCCATCTACATCATCAGTTTTCTCTTCTTTAACATGCCAATACCCAACTATATCATCAGTTTTCTCATCTTTAACATGACAATATTCATCTACATCAACAATTTTCTCTTCTTTAACATGTATTATATTGTGTTGTTCTAATTCATCATGTTGATGAAGGGTTTTAACATAAGTTTCCTGTAAGATATAAAAGTTATAACATTATTAGTTTCATTTAATATATAAAAGCTATAACACTATTAGTTTTCTCTAATATATAAAAGTTATAACATCATTAGTTCCCTGTAATATATAAAAGTTATAACATCATTAGTTTCCTGTAATATATAAAAGTTATAACATCATTAGTTTCCTGTAATATATAAAAGTTATAACATCATTAGTTTCCTGTAATATATAAAAGTTATAACATCATTAGTTTTCTGTGAAGTATAAAAGTTATAACATCATTAGTTTCCTGTAATCTATAAAAGTTATAACACCATTAGTTTCCTGTAATATATAAAAGTTATAACATCATTTGTTTCCTGTAATATATAAAAGTTATAACATCATTAGTTTCATGTAATATATAAAAGCTATAACACTATTAGTTTTCTCTAATATATAAAAGTTATAACATCATTAGTTTCCTGTAATATAGAATGTAATTGTTTTTGTGCGGCATGTGTGTTCAAAAGAAAATTATCCCATCCGAGTCGCTAATCAAATAATTAAAACAAAATATTTCAAAAGGTAAAGTTATAAACTTTGCAGAGATTTTACTAGAATGTAAAAGACGGTAACAAAATAAAAGAATACGGATAGTTATGTGTGTGAACGCTCAAACTCAATAAGACTTATAGCTTATTCTTAAACCAAACTTGAATTGTCATAAAGTACCGAAAATCTTTTCAATTTGCTATCTGTCACCCCTTATACGAAATGATATCTCCCGAAGTGTGATGTAATCAGCTTCCATATTGGTTTTTTTATTTGCCAAAAGTTTGTGGGATTTCAATTTTTCAAGAAAGAACTTTTTTATTTGTTGGGATAATTAGTTGTGCAATGGATTTTATTTAACGGGAGCTGATTTGAAACACACAGGTAAGTTTTTAATAACCCAAGTTCAGTAGTTTGTTCATAATCGATGAAATCCGTTTAAGTCATTTACGATGGTTCAGACAGTAATGTTATTGGAGATTGGTCGAAAAAATGCTAAAAATACAAAATAAACATTGTGTATGTATACTGGTCTAAGCTTTCTGTATGTGTGGTTTATTTAGGAGAGATCTGATACAATAAAATCTCATCTTACCATGTTGATTTTTCACTTCTACAATTTGTGTTTATAATTTTATCAGTAACGAATTAACATGACCACCGTTCATCAATAATCACTTCCGCTACATCCTGTTCTCAGGTTGTATCTTGATTCTTGACGTGGATCAACCGAACCCGAATAATTCACAATCCAAAGAGAAAATATTGTTGACCGTGTCATATCACGTATGACAGTTTCTTCTTGCTGCTTGACATCAATTACTGTGTGGGGCAGGTGACAAGTTCCTTGTGGTTGTATTTACCCTCATGTACTCAAGACTAGAATACTGCTTGCCATATTTTCAATATTCAATTAAAATGGCTAAAAATTAGCGATATACCAGTAAATGGAATTATCACCCCTTTGCCTTTTTCATCAAGCCTAGAAATACGAAAACATCCATTGGCCACACACTCAGCAACAAGCCCCAGGAAAAAGTTGCACTGCAATGCCATTCAACCGGACCAATCGACCAGACCAACACAAATGACTTGTTAAATATTTATATAATGTTCATCTATATCCACGGTGCCTGCCTAAAAATGGGAGGTTTGCATATTGTATTTACATGTAAATAGAGTGACTCACAGAATAAACGAAACGAACAAACTATTTTAAGACTAACATAAGTGTGGTGTCTACCACTAACTTTTACCTGGTACCCAACACAAATGACTTGTTAAATATTTATATAATGTTCATCTATATCCAGGGTGCCTGCCTAAAAATGGGAGGTTTGCATATTGTATTTACATGTAAATAGAGTGACTCACAGAATAAACGAAACGAACAAACTATTTTAAGACTAACATAAGTGTGGTGTCTACCACTAACTTTTACCTGGCAAGGAGGAGTAGGGTCAGGGTGGAAAGGAGTGGGGTGATGAGGAGAGAGAGAGAGAGAGAAATGGGGTTTAACGTCCACTCTACACAAACTAGGTCATTTCGGGACTAACACATGGTTTAATTTTATTTCAATAATTCGCTTGCGCGTAGGGCTCTTTAGCAGTGGGAGGAAACCGGAGGACCCAGAGAAAACCCACGAGGTTGGACAGGCGACCCTACTCCTTGCCACGTACAACCGGGGATTCGAAACCACGCCAGTTGACTCAATAACAGACTTTATGGTACAGCGCGCACATGCTAACCAATCAGCCACCCAACCCCCCAGGGTGACGAGGAGTAGGGAGACAAGGAGTTGGGTCGCCTGTCCATCTGCATGGGATTTCTCCTGGTTCTTCAATTTCTTTCCACGTGCAATTTTGAATTATTGAATTAAAACTGTACCATTTGTTATTCCCGAAAATAACCCACTTCTTTCTCTATGGGGGATCACGGTGGCTAAGTGGGTGAGAGACGCTGGCATTGGCCGAGAAAGTTCATCGAGATTTTCCGGCGTGGTTCCCCCTTGTCAGTGATGCAGGACGGAGGGGCTGACAAGGACAGCTGTCTAGTCGTTCTGATGGGACGGAAAACTGAGGTAGGCCGTAGTGCCGCTGTCCGGGCAAAATTTCCCTCATAGCACACTGTATGGCGTATGCCCGTCTTCATTAGCCCAGTTCGGAGCAGAACAGTAGGACGTTAAACCCCATTTCATTTCATTTCATATCTTTCTCTCCAGGAGATTTTCCGAGTACTAATTCAGGCTAACTTTGTGTAACAAGAGCTGGCCTTAACCATAATGATATCATGTTATCAACATGGACCATAGTCAAACCAATTAATGCTACTGACAAACCAATTACAGGACAAATGATTCAGATATATCTTTATTTCGTTTGATTACAGACATAACATGGTTTATATATGGTTAAAATATATCTTTATTTCATGTGATATAGGTTCATATATATCTATATTTCATTTGATTACAGGTTCATGTATATCTATATTTCATGTGATTACAGTACTCATATGGTTAATATATGTTAAAGCTGCCTTTCTATTACTCCTTAATTAAATGAACCTGTCTTTAATATCATGCTTTATGTACTGGACATTCAATTGTGACACTGTACCATGCCAGGCCCATTGACAAGGGGAAACCATTGACTAGATACTGTTCCATGCCAAGCCCACTGACAAGGGGAAACCATGACTAGATACTGTTCTATGCCAGGCCCACTGACAAGGGAAAACCACAACAGAAAATTGCAAGAGTATTCTTGTAAATATAACCAGGCAGGATACGCCCACATTTTGCAAGATATGGATAGAGAACAAGCTAAACAAGCGATTTTTCGTACAATCTAGGGCCATACATGTAATTCTGGAAGTTACGATACGATATGCGCAAATATCGACAGGAACCAAGATCTTTGGGTTATAAAGCTATATTTCAAGTTTCATCAAAACCAGATCAACATTCAGACTTCTAGAGGGTCCACAACCTTGATATACCATATATTTACACTATTTGCAAAACAGGGGCGGACATTTTGTCTGAGAGTTTTGGTCTAATTTTCACAAAATTCTCACTCGGTGGTCATTAGGGTGTAATGGTGAAACATTCAAACTTTTTTTCAATTGGGTCAAAATTGTGACTCCTAGAGGAACCACAAGCTAAAAACGCGATTATTCATACAATCAAGGGCCATAATTCAGGAAGTTACAATCTGATATGCGCGAATATCAAAAGGAACCAAGATCTTTGGGTTATAAACATGTGTTTCAAGTTTCATCAAAATCCGATCAAAACTGTGTTTAGAGTGTCCACAAGCTTGATATACCATATATACACTATTTGAATATGAGGGGTGGCCATTTTGTCCAGCAGTTTTGGTCCGATTTTCACGAAATTCAAACTTAAACATAATTACAGTGTAACGGTGATATAGTCTAACGTTTTTTTAAATCGGATAATAATTGTTACCACTAGAGGGACCACAAGCTAAAAAGGCGATTTTTCAAACAATCAGGGGCCATAATTCAGGAAGTTACGATCCTATATATGTGCAAATATCGACAGGAACGAAGATCTTTGGGTTATAAACATGCATTTCAAGTTTCATCACACTCAGAAGAAAATTGTGACCTCTAGAGTGTCCATAAGCTAAAACGTGATTTTTCGTACAATCAGGGGCCATAATCCATGAAGTTATGGTCTGATATATGCCAATAGCGAAAAGAACTAAGGTCTTTGGAAGATAGACCTATATTTTAAGTTTTGTCAAAATTGAATAAATATTGTGGACGTCCGGACAGACAGGGCAACGACAATACATGTATACGTCCACATAAAAATGTGGGCGTATAAAAATGCATTCTCAAAGTGAATGGTTTGTAGAATCTAAGAAAAGGGTTTTTAAATAGGAGTTAGTAACACACTGATTGCGAGTTTACCGATGCTTTTAAAATTGTTTCCATTAAAAACTTTCAATAGTCAATACCCTTTTCACTTACATTTACTGTTAAATTTATTGAAAGGTGATAGTATTTTGATTTACTCCCAAAGCTGTTCCAGAGATTTTTGTCATATGATGAATATGTCATAGGAGGTTATAGGTTATAAAGAACATAGAGGAAGGAGGTTATAGGTTATAAAGAACATAGAGGAAAGAGGTTATAGGTTATAAAGAACATAGAGGAAGGAAGGAGGTTATAGGTTATAAAGAAAATAGAGGAAGGAGGTTATAGATTATAAAGAACATAGAGGAAGGAAGGAGGTTATAGGTTATAAAGAACATAGAGGAAGGAGGTTATAGGTTATAAAGAACATTGAGAAAGGAGGTTATAGGTTATAAAGAACATTGAGAAAGGAGGTTATAGGTTATAAAGAACATAGAGGAAGGAGGTTATAGGTTATAAAGAACATTGAGGAAGGAGGTTATAGGTTATAAAGAACATTGAGGAAGGAGGTTATAGGTTATAAAGAAATGAAATGGGGTTTAACGTTCTACTGTTCTGCTCCTATGCTGGGCTTATGAAGACGGGCATACGCCATACAGTGTGCTATGAGGGAAATTTTGCCCAGGCAACTCTTTATATCGAATTCCAACTGCCAAGGGATCTTTTACGTGCATGTTGACATTTTTTCTGAGTATGTCTCATAGTATGGCATGACATTATTTGAAAGGTACATGTAGTTACTTTCAGGTATGAGTTTTCCTGTGCTTCAGTAGGGTTCCATCCTGTCTGAATGATTTACAACAAACATCACATTTATAAGGCTTCTCGCCAGTATGAATTCTCATGTGTTTCTGTAAAACATAGCAACGACTAAATAACTTATCACAAACATCACATTTATATGGCTTTTCACCAGTATGAATTCTCTTGTGAACCTGTAGATGACCCCTTTCAGTGAATGTTTTACTACAAACATCACACTTATAAGGTTTTTCACCTGTATGAATTTTCATGTGATTTTGTAAATGATTATTCCAGGTGAATGATTTACTACAAACATCACATTTATATGTTTTTTTCCTAGTATGAATTTTCATGTGTTTTAGTAGGCTTCCACCCTCTATGAATGATTTACTACAAAGATCACATTTATATGTTTTTTTCCTAGTATGAATTTTCATGTGTTTTAGTAGGCTTCCACCCTCTATGAATGATTTACTACAAAGATCACATTTATATGGTTTTTTCCTAGTATGAATTTTCATGTGCTTTAGTAGGCTTCCACCCTCTATGAATGATTTACTACAAAGATCACATTTATATGGTTTTTTCCTAGTATGAATTTTCATGTGTTTTAGTAGGCTTCCACCCTCTATGAATGATTTACTACAAAGATCACATTTATAAGGTTCCTCACCACTACAAGTTCTCATATGATTATGTAGATCACCATTCTGACGAAATGATTTACTACAAACATCACATTTATAAGGTTTTTCACCAGTATGAATTCTCATGTGTCTTTGTAGGCTTCCGGACTGGTTGAATGATCTACTACAAACATCACATTCATATGGCTTCTCGCCAGAATGATTTCTCATGTGTCTATCCAGACTAATATTATGACTAAATGATTTACCACAAACATCACATTGATAAGGTTTCGCGCCAGTATGAATTCTCATGTGTGTCTGTAGACTACTACGAGCAATTGATTTCCTACAAACATCGCATTTATATGGCTTTTCACCTGCA